AAATGACGATACAACCCTGATTGTACCGGTACACAAGAAATTCTCGTCGAATGAGATGTTGGTCCTTCATGCACAGCCTTGCTCGCTTGACTGTGCCGCAAACACCATCTCCACGTTTGATTCGACGGAACGTCACAAGACCTGTGTGGAAGGGCCGATGCATGATTTTCAACGTGTAGGTAGGTGGGTACCTTTGTATCTTTGACCTATCGCATAGAAGGCATGCTCGTGGCGATGTGCAGCAGTATGTGGAGGTACCCCGCCCGTCTGCGATGATGTATTCATCTTGGAACGACCTGCTGGACACGGGTTTATCAGCCCCTCTACCTTGACATTTGTACGAGCTTGTGCTCCGATATCCTACATCAAGCTACATACATCGAGCCAGCTCTTTGCCGTCGCATGCACTATCCCGCAATGTCCGATTCACCAGCTAACACATACCCCTGGTACGTCGAGGAGTGGAGTTCTGGGGGCTACCCAACTTCCATATCCATCTCAGACAGCGCAGACAATTGGTCAAGAACTCTGATGATACGCGTGACCCCCTCGCCACGCGGTATCGTGCTGCCCGGAGAAACGCACATTGTAACGGTTGGAGAAAACTATGTTTTCTCTGGTATTGAGATTTCGCTCACGACAGACCCGGATCAGATATTTCTTCGCCGCAGTCCGATCACGTCAGAGTCGAGCGTTGTGGAACAAACGTTGATACCGCCGGCAGAAATCCCAAGACCAACTTCCACGAGTGATGGCGGGGATGAGACAGCTTCGGCAGCTGATGCGATCACTAGCTCAGGAAGCTCAGGCAGCTCAGGCAGCTCAGGAAGCTCAGGCAGCTCAAGCTCAGAGAGTAGCGCGAGTGAAATACAGTCTGAAGGTAGCAGTCAATCTACCGCAACCGCATCCGCCAACGAAAGCAGCAGTCCAAGTCTAGGAGGCGGCGCAATCGCCGGAATGGCTATAGGCGGTATACTCGTCCTCGCTCTGATAATCGGGGGATGGTTTTTCTGGCGACGAAGACAGCGTTCAAAAGCACGATCATCAGGTTCGGGCGACGACGAACAGGGCACGAGGGTCGTGAGCACTGGAGGGCCACCGCCACAGTACTCTCCGCCGGAGAAACAACCATATATCCCAGATCATCATCAAGAAATGCCGGGCGATATAGTCATGCCAGCGCAAGAATTGGATCCAAATCAGTCCGCCAAATATGCGACGCACGCAGCACGGCATTCTACGAGTAAAGCAGCGTATCAGTATGAGCCGGCTTATGAGCTTCATCCTGATGGTAGACCAGCTGAGCTACCGCACGGAAGAGGGGAAGATATTACGATAGCGCACACTCATAGGCCCCAAACACCAATGAATCAGACCGACGCTGGTGAGGAAGCTGGAGTAAGGAGTACTGCGGTGTCACCAAATGTAGAGGCGCAAAGAAGACGCGAAATGGAGTGGTTGGACATGGAGGAGGAGAGGATACGGAAGAAGAGGGAGACGCTTTCTATGCAAGCAAGCGGGAAGAGTCCATAAAGTCTTTGGGGTTTTGATGGCACTTGTTTAGCACACTCCATTCTAATATAATTTCTAGTTCGAACAATTGAAGCGCAGGATTGTGAGGCACAGGCGACACGCACTAGGCCCAAAGCATCGAACGTCATGTGTGATGTTGGCCGCATGTTCGGCCTGAAGGACATCGAATCAGTGCGCAACCGCATATGGAGAATTGGGGGCCAGAAAAAGCTGATTGGACAACGCGATCATCGAACTGGGTGCGGCACGGTGACCTCTACAAACAGTTGCCGTGAATCAATGAAGAGCAACAAGCGCATCTAGCGCAGAAAGCCGCCTGCTCCTGCTTCACATACCTTCTCTATTGTAACCGTAAGGTGTGGCTGACACCCAGGCCATATATCGTTTATAGCAAGCTGCATTCTTGCCCGTTGGTTCAATTACACAGAGTTGGAGGACGAGACTGTCCAGCGAATGAACGGAATGCGCAGTTAGTACAACACCTTAGCCGCGCTCGCAAAGGAAAGCGCTTGACTGAGTTCGGCGCTCAAATCAATCCCTGGACCTGGGTGTAGACCGATGAGTTCAACCACGCCACGATAAAATCCCCCAAACCTCGTTCAGGCTGTATATAGACACGCTGAGGCCCTAATCAGGGCGCATAGCCTAGATTATCTTATACCGAAGCAGATACCCGCTTCGTCACTGTCTAGGTCCACATTTCGAGTCTTCACTTCGTGCAGTCGCATGTTCGTTGAAGTCTGTTGTTTAAGCAGCGTCCCGGTACCACAATTGCCAGAATACTGCAGATACGTTGAACATGTCTACATCGACATGGCAAACCGAACGGATCAACACCAACACCAACGATCCGTATACGACTACTCTGCGCAACGACGATATCCCGCTAGCAACAATCACAGTACACATAACACCAACGCTTGAACTTCGATTTCCAGAAGCCCCACCCCTAGAAACAAGCTCCACCATGACATCAGGTCTTCTTTACATCTCTCTCCGAGGCGAAGACGATGGAATGGCGATTCTGTACTCGACTCGTACGGACTTTTCATACTCACGGAGTTTGGCATTGGCCAAGTCGAAGTCACTAAACTTGTCGTCTTCAACGAGAACTGGGGATTCGATCGCGTCCAAGTCGCCTCGGCCTAACCGAACCTCACGCCGTAAACATACCTCAAGCGGCACTATTGCCGGCGTAGCGGTGGGAGGCGTCCTCATCCTCGTGTTCATAATAGGTGGCTGGTCCTTCTGGCGCCGAAGAAGACGCGCAAAGTCTACTACAAGCATGAACGCGCTGAAGTCTGAAGGGCAAACGGGACGAGATGATGAGAAGATACTCCCCGATAACCCCACATCCGGCGCGCGTCAAGAGTCGTCTGGCGACAGTCACGCACAACAGTTTGACCCTTCACAATCATACGGAGACAAGGCGCATGAGCTTAAATCTGATGATGTACCGGGAGAATTACCGCATGCCGCAGTGGGTGGAACAAATGGTGATGAAATCACGGGGTTGCCTACCACGGCCACTGCAAGAGATGATACTGCTTCGCATGTTTCGCCACATGTAGAAGCGCAAAGGAAGAGAGAGTTGGAATAGCTAAGGACAGGAAAAGAAACGATACAGAAGAGAGTGGAGACGCTTTTAATGCAAGAGGGTGGTAGGGCTGATGAGAGAAGAGAGCATGAATGAATGATCTTGCGAGGTGAGCGAAGGAGATCGACGACATAGTTATTGTCTGGCGAAAATAAGGAAAACTTTCAAGGTTTAATAGACCAGTCACTGAACTGGCAGCGAGACGGTGGTTAGACCTGGACATGTGGGAAGTTTGCGTTGTGGTTGACGTTTTCGGGGCCAGAATCATCGAGTGGGTTGACCGGTGACCATGTAAGCTGCATTTTCGCCCTGCACGGCACAGCCCGTGACAGTTTTGACATGCCGAATCAACGTTCGCTGAGATGGATAGAGTTGGGGGCGAACAGGCCAATCCAGCAAATAGACGGCTCGCGCAGCCAGTACCGCATTTCGGCATCGCCAAAAAGGGTAACCACTAAACTGCATGCGGCACGCAATCTATAAACTGATTCCAACCCTTGTGCGACATCCAACAGCCCATTCAGGCTGTACCCATGGTGCGATTCCATCCAGGACATATAGTAGATTGTTGGACAACACATCGAAGTAGGTGATTCTCCGTCGCTATCTAGCTCCATCTTTCGAATCTCTTCGTGCTTAACTCTGCATATTCCTGGATCTGTCTCATTCTGTTGTAACAGCAGCGACCAATTACCGCAGCCCGGATAATACTGCATGATTACCCAGAATGACAGAATCAACTTATGAAATAACATGGGTCACCAGAACGATCGATACGGCGATCGAGACTTCGTCTATCGAACATCTTGTCTGGGAAGGTACACGGTTCTTTTCAGTTACGGTGGTACCGTCACCATCGCTCGAACTCTTAGTTGAATCTGATGATTTCCGTTTACCACTCTTTACGATAACAGGAGGGGCAGAGCCTCGATGGGTGGGCGAGCTCGCAGTGTCTCTCCAAACAAGCCCCTCCCCGGCAATTCTGTGGTCGGTCCTAGCTACAACCACGGGAGAATCAACAAATCCGTCACTGAGTTCGGCATCTTCAACGACAAATCGACCGACCACCACAACCAAGCCACCTCGTTCTACCCGAACCTCACGCCCTAATCCTACTCGAAACCGCAAATCCAAGCCAGGCGTAGGGAGTGGTGCAATCGCTGGAATAGCGATAGCAGGCATTGTAATCCTCGCCCTCATAATAGGCGGATGGTATTTCTGGCGACGCAAGAAGCGGAGGGCACAACCACCCGCGGCGACACTCACCGAAGACGAACTAGCCAGGCGAGAAGGTGATGGCGACAAGATGGTCCTCGATACGGATCATAATGCGACCAGAACAGGAGCGGACCAGACGGATTACCAAGAGATGTCTGGCAACGGCCTTACGCAGGAACTGGATCGGTCGCACTCGTACAAACATGCGATTGGCGGCGCGCACGAGCTTAGGGCTGAGGATCAGCCGGGGGAATTGCCATACAATGGGATGGAGGAATATCGACGAGCACATGAGGCTGGGGTCGTCGGTACACACGATGGAGGTGATGGCGGAGATATGGAGATGATACCGGCATCAGGAGCGAGGGATGCAACGGCACAAGTCTCGCCACATGTGGAAGCGCAGAGGAAGAGAGAAGTGGAGTGGTTGGAGATGGAAGAGACGAGGATGAGGCAGCGGCGAGAAGCACTTCTACAACAAGGTGGTGGTCAACACACGTAATATATTGGAAAGAGTTTGGAACCCGGCATTCTGAAACAGTGCATACAAATATCCCAGAACACATCCTATCAAGCCCATCCATCGCATCCAGAGACCTACACAATATATCCCCACAACCATCCCCCAAGCCCGCCAAAGCCACAGTCACCCCTACTCAACAACCTCAACCTTAACCTCCTTACCACTCACCATATCCGCCAACTTCGTCTTCATAACCTCCAACTCCTTCTTCGCATCCCTATTCTCCTTCCCCCTCGCCCTCTCATCCGCAAGTTCCTTCTCGAGCCCCAACACCTTAGCAGTCAACAAAGCGTTCTGCTGTCTCACCTCCATGACCCGCTTCTCCATATCCTGGTCAACAACACCCTTCTTCGCCTTCTCGGCGGCAAGTTCCCGCTTCAATATCTTCATGTCGTTCTGCAGTTTGCCTTGCTGCAGGACCTTTTCGTCGATTCGAGCTTTGGTAGTACGATGTAGTGTGTTTAGTCGTGTGAAGCGCTGCTGAAGGGATGCCATTTCAGCGTCTTTGGCTTCGAGAGCGCTGCGGTGCTGGGTCTCGAGCTCGGACATGGAGTGGCGGAATGCGCATAGTGAATCGATTGCTTCGTTGATCCGGGTGTGGGGGTTGAACATCTGGTTGTTGTTAGTGGACTGAGACGCCTACGACTGCGTTGAGGTCTAGTGGACGTACGGGGCCGGAGTCGTGCGGCGGAAAACGGGCTGCTTGGACGCCGTGGCGCGCTGAGAGTGGGAGGTATGTGCCGAATATGGACGTGTCGTTGGGTGGGGGATTGGGCGGGGGCATGCTGTTGGAGGATTTGGGTGTTGTAGGTGTTGACGGAAGGCGAGTGGATGGGCGGTGATCCTCGTGCGGAGAGGGATGTCGCAGGAAGTGGTGGGAATCTGGCGGTAAGGTGGTAACGGAGAGAGATATTGTGAGAGTGAGAGGGGTCGGAAGGCGTGCTGATAAAGCTAAAGAGGGTATCGAATGGACTAAGAGAGGGGGTTGCGGAAGTAGCGATAGTAACGTGACTGACATCTCGAAGTAAAGGTGAGTGGACGACGAATCAGAGCCGTCTAGAGCGTTTGCACTGCGACGCGCTGCGGTGTGGGTATCGTCGGTACATACTCGATTCAGTCAACAATTGCGGGGCATGCGCTACTCAAGTCTCGTTTGCTGTTTTGACCGGAAATGACTGAAGTGATTGGACTGGGAGGAGTAAGAACAGCAATCACTATCGTTGAAGATTGTGTATAATCTTTGGAGGTACTAAGACGGACCTTGATGGACGATACCACTTCAATACGAGCTGGAGTTGGCGAGAACTAAACCAAAGTGATAGTACGTGCTGGGCAATGGTCCGCAGCAGTCAGAAGCGTCCTCGGTTTGTAGATAGTATACTCATCGTCATCGCCAATATCGCTCCCGGGGCCTCGATGATTCCTTATGATCTCAACAGTGCCAACCCTAGTATATGTATCCGTCGTTCCCTCGACCTTCTCGATGCATATGCCCACGTGGCCGGTGATCATCATCGCACTGCAGGATCTGTAGTCAACAGAGTCAAACATAGCAAAAGCATTGACCAGTGCGCCGTTTCCGAGTTGAAGCTTACACGATGGAAACTGTACCGTATCTGTGTCAGCTTTGACCTGTGTGACCAGAGTTAACGGTCCTCTGATGCGGGCGGACCCAGCCGTAATTTCGCCAAAGGGGTCCAAGCCGCTGTGAGTGATGTTGCACTCTTCGAGATGGGCACAATAATCGGCCCACATGTTATCAGCCTCGTGTTGATAATCGTGACAAATGATGCCTTTGACAGATGCCCACGACCACGACGGAGCAGTCCATACCTGCCGTTTCCTAAGACCCCGTCGTTTCTCTCCTCTTCTTTCCTCTGGGATGAGAGACCATAGGTCCGGATGCCAGTACCACAGCGGATAAAAGTGCCATAGGAGGCCGTCAAGGAAGTGCGATTTCCATAGACCGGCGTAATATGTGGCCCCGGTGACTTCTTGTACTTTTCGAACAACGCCAGCCATCGCTGGAAAGGTGTCTTTGTCGAAGCTCACTTCGCGTATGGTATGATCTTCTATATAATCATACCATTGATAAAGCTTGTGACGTATAGGTTGGTTTAGCGGCCTTGCCATTTGCCCAATGGTATCCCCGTGGTAAGTGCGGTGCAAGAACGCCCAGTTAATTTGTCTAAGTTTCTCTTCGTTCTTGCTACTCATAGAGCATTCCCAGGTTATTTCGCCAGTCTCAAAGCTCAAGATACGACGGGAGAGTACTTTTTCTTGTCCAGCCCATCCACGACCATTCAAAGGCTAAAGGTATTAGAAAATTTCAATTGAACAATGCCAAACTCAGGGAGTTCAACTAACCTCGTCAACTGGCATGGGAGCTGTTTGAAAGAACAGATCGAACGAGTCTCCTTCGTCTTTGATGTTCACACATAATGGAGGATTTAGTTCGCGAGGACCAAGGAATCCCTCCCCACAGTGCTCTGCTCGTGAAGCAGCTACAGTCAAAGATGCATTGGAGTATACATCTGCCATATGTGCAGATTCGTGTTCCCAGTCTCTCTTCGAGTCTTGCAGGATGCATAAGCAATCAATCCAGATGTATCCAATGTCCAGACATCGTACAACCATAACAGCGTCTTGCAAGGTTCGCGGTAGATTGTTGAAGCCTATGCCAGACTCGTGGTTCTTCAAATTGATTGTAGTCGTCGTCAAGGGTAAGGTGGTGCCCCAGCAGTAGCTCAACGCCACATAAAGGCCCGTCTGACCTTCGGAAGTCTGTAGAAGCTTGCAACTCTCACCCCGAAGTTGATCTCGCCATGGCTGCTGCATACCGAGCATTTGTTCTCGCCCAGGAAGCATGCTCACGTCCAAGACTCGTCTAGGCAGGGGTACTTGTCGCATTGATCGATTATGGCACCAGGAGTGGCTAGTGTTACATTTGTCCAGCCAAGATAGCATACGTTTCAATGTTTTAGGATGCAGTGTCTCTCTTAGAACAACACTAGTGAGGTCGCAGATTCGCCTTAATGGGTCGTCTGTACTATCCAGTCAGTTTAGGATTTTCTTATTGTTCAGCGTGTGTGAAAATTACCAAATAGTAACCTTATGTAGACGAGCAACCAAGAGGAAGTTACAACACAGTGTGGAGTACCTAAGGCGATTCGGAAGGGCTTATGCGACTCCGTAGCGCTAGGTAATTTCATCCACACCATGGGATTCTGTGGAACGACAGTCTTGATTGTTTCCAATGTGAAGGAGTTTCGTCCCCTCTCCCACGTCGTGCACCAACTCGTTTGATTGATTTTCAGCAGGATGTATGCGCAGAGTGGGCATGTCTTCGCGCGAGACACCATCTCTGCAATAGTGCATCGTCGCTCGTTCCAAGGAAGATTGTCGTTAGGAATCGACGATGTTCGCCCAACTGCGTTGAACCTAAAGCCAGCTCTTTCAAGCGTGTGATCATGTTTCTCTCGTGTGATGACTTTGCGAAACGGTATCGATCTGCAAACGTTACAAAGCGACATGATTGAAATCGCGACGTGCAAATGTGCAGTGGCACGGTGATATCATCGTAGTCCTAACATGTTGTTGTCCCCGCAGCTGTGCCACAATGCTACATATGCGCTAGCCCTCATGTAGCACCTAACATTGTCACATGATCGATAGTCGCCTGCTGCATTCTGTTGTCGGAAGGTTCCAGGCTTGTTTCCCGAATGTTGTAGTGGGTGGTCTATCTGCCTACCACGATGGCACGAAAAGAACATCATTCGTGTTGATAGAGGACCTGGGCCCTCATATAATCGGTGGATATCGTAAATTTACCCTGACTTTTGTGATGTAGTCTGAAGAAGGGTCATGCTCGTCGTTCTCGTCGTTCTCTGTGCATGCGGTGAGTGTATGTCTTCGACGCGCTGCATCGTCCATAAGCCATCTCACAGCGGCAGTGCCGAAGTGAACAGGGGGCTCGGTCGTTAATATCGCGTATCGCCTATCTCTGGCGTGTGAAGAGATCAACGGCTGGTTCGGTCCTATTGAAGCAAACTCTGAAAGAACAAAGAAGGTTCATCATCGGCTCATCTGAGTACGACAGGCATTGTTGCGTCTGATGCAGACAATGACGATACTACCTTTCCATCGACGGTGCGGCAGTGCCAACAGCTTACGGCACATGCGAACTAGTTCGAGGTTTGATTAGAAGAACATGTCTGCGATTGCATCATCCCTCGGGAAAGGCCGTGAATCGCAGCTTACCTAGCCCAAGCGCGTAAGAACGATTGCGCACACCCCGCGGAAAAGATTGGTGTGAACGTGTGGCGGTGCAGCGAAAAACGCAGGGTCTGGCCGCTGCGCCACGTGTACCCGCATGTGTAAACAGGGGCAGCGAGCTGAAAAGACGAAAACTCAAATTCTGTCCAGTCGATATTGCGCGTCACCTGGTGTTGGTGGAGATGACAGTCGGGGCCAGGGGATTGGCTGCAGCCGCAGATGAGATCGTAGACGTGGTGAGACGGGATGTGGCTTCAATCTAGATCGTCGGTTCCCACAGGGGGTGTGGAGTTGTCAATCCTTCCCGCTGTGTGCGAGGAGCGGCTGCGCGTGTCAATCAATTGTGACTATCACTGCGGGATCAAGATGCGGTGGGGAGAATAGGCTTTCTGTGTCTGTGTCGTGTCTGTGTGCAGTGCAGGTGATAGGATGCGCACAGAGTACGGTGAGATGGCATCGTCATAGTTTCGGCTGCTTAACCGCAACAACGCATAGTCGGTTCTGTGCCGTGTTTGTTCGCTGTATCACTGTATCGTCGGTCGCTTTCAACCAAGGCGGCGTCTAGTGACACCTGACAGGAGAAGGGGTAGCCCGGCAGCGGACAACGCTCGATTGACGTAATTGTCGTACCGCATCCAGGACGATCGCTAGCGAGGCTGGGAGCTTGCCAAGCTTGGCAATGTTCTCAACTGGATTTGCGCCGCATGTCGCGAATCACAAGGTTGCTTTTCCGCCAGCTCGGTAATTTCCTTGGGCCCTTGTCGCGCATCCTTCACATGAAGACGCGTTTCGAGCCGGACATGGGTGGGTGAAAAGTCTCACTTCACTTCACGGCCACGCCGAGCTGCATCACCGCCACGCAGTGAAAAGCCTTCCGCAATTGAGGCTGGTGATGCAGCCCGCAGTGAAGTGTCAGGGTCCAGAAGCTGGATGCGCGCAGCTAAGCTGAAGGCGTTAGCGGGCTGGCTCGAGTCGCGCGATAGGACCGATTTGTGGAGTGTGCTTGGACCACGACGTCACACTAGAGGCTGCCCAGGTGGTGGACTCCTTGTATAGCGCCCGCAGTCCTGTTTATTTGTATGCAGTCCTAGAGCCTCCTCATTTCCTAAGAAGCATCTTCCCTTCGCGACTCCTTCACTCCCACCCCACGGGCACGCGACTGCCTAGTTGCCCACCATGTCGTCCACCGTGAGTCCCTCCGCCATCGCGACAGCGCCAGCATGAACGTGCGCTAATCATAACAAAGGGTGGTGAAGTTGGCAAAGCCCAGCAAGAATCCTCCAACTCCCTTTCCAGTTTGGTCTCCACCCTGGTGCCGACTGCCATTCTTGCGCTCGCCTTCGTCGTCGCTTTCCTTATCGCGCGCAAATACTTCCGCCGAGTCTATGCGCCGAGAACCTATCTCAACCATCTGGGGCAGCAGCGACAGACGCCCGCGCCGAGCGGAGGCTTCTTAGGATGGATAAAAGACTTCAAGAACCTCAAGGACGAGTACATTCTCGACCACCA